GGGAATCGGATGCCTGCCCTTCTATAGCGAGGGCACAAGCTCGTCCTTTGCGTGCAGCACCATGTCTGCCCGGAGCCTGCGGCGGAACTGCGTCGGGACTCCTCGAATTTGAACCCGGAGTTGAGGTCGTTGAAGGATGTGTTTACAAGATGGGCGAGGTACATACAGACATAGATGCCACAGTCGTAGCTATTGTCCTGGCCGGGAACCTTGTTCCTCTGAAAACATAGCAGCACAACGATGGTTAGCGTTGGTTCTAAATATTGTTGGGTGCGGAGCAGATCACTAGAATGCGCAAGAAGATCACACCTCCAAGATGTGGTAGGACATGCGATCGACCTGCACGCCAACCACGTCATCGTCAAGGCCTGTATGCAATCGTTTCAGCGCAAGCCCCAAAATTGTGCAGCACATGTTCAGGATGTGGGCGCATCGATCAGTTGAGTTAGGTAGAGCAGATATTCGCAAGACGGCGCGACAAACTCACGTTTTGATGTTATAAAAAACCTCGCAGCAATGTTGCGGTGAAGGGTTAGCGAGTCGAGCAGTGTTCCCCTCGACTTCTTAGCAGCGTCGAGCTCCTAGTCGGCGGGCATGACCAGCCCGGGGTCCTGCACCACCACTAGAATCCGGTGGCCAGAGCCGCCATTCCTGCATGCAGCCATGGGAAACATGTTAGGTCGATACCCAAGGCCAGTATTCTTGATCCTATACTCACACATCGAGGGCCATATTTTTCGTGACCACGCTTACTGAGTGTGCAAGATGATGCAGAGGTAATCCACGTCTAGCATGGACTCTGCAAAATTGCTAGCGAAGAGGCCGCAATGGTCTTTGGCGTAAGTGAACATAGTGCTGGCCAGTACGCGCCACTTCTGCCCATCTGGCAAACTCGGGAAGCGGAGGTTGAGTATCCTGCACTCGGTGGCAACAAAATTTCAGACAGTGGATGGCGGTGTGGCTTAAAGCCCGCGGCCCAAATTGCGAGACGCGACCTTCAAACGCAGTGCGTTTGAAAGTTGCGTTTTCGTGGGTGACGAGACTCTCGTCACTTAGGGGTGCCTTTCAAGTTCAGTGCGGAAGGTAATTTGGAACACCAGGTGCCGAGCGTTTTTCAACCGTCCAGTTTTTCTAGATTTTCATCTGATGACGCGTAAGCCAAGCACTTCCCTCAGTCAGTCGAAAGGTAATCTCATCCGTCAAACTGTGTGTTCGTAAATCTGACGGTTCACGACAAGCGATGAATTTGCGAGAGTAAATGCCCTCGCGATTTTCCAGTGTATTTCGTACAGCCTGAGGGTCAAACTTCATACGCAGTGCGTGTGAACAATTTGGGTCGCGGGTTTTAAGGCATGTTAGTGCACGGCATACTACAGTAGCTTTTTTAGCTGTGTATGGTTAGTGAAAAAAAGCTAAGAACACAACCACTAGAATCAAGAAAGAAAGGAAACGCGGGGTTACTTACACGGAATGAAAGTCCAGGATGTTGGACGTCAGCTCCTTGCCATCCTGGATCTGCAGAGCATCGTGCGTTCCAAGGTTGGCCCACATCCCGAAATTGTCGTAGAGGTTTGGGGTGGGGAAGCTGAGGATTTTGAGCAAGTCGGCGGATGTCTCCTTCAATACGCCTAGTTTCTCTCCGTCTGGCGAAATTATGTCGCGGGGACATTCGACCGTGTCCCGTCCTCTACGACTATGTGGACTGGGAACGGTAGCGGCAACTCCGCGAGCTTGTTTTTCGAATCCTTTTTGGATTTCTTCGCCCTCGGACCCTCGCGAGCCAGGACTTCCCGGACATAGGCTTCTTCCTCCTATCTGTCGGACATTTCCTTGGTGGTCCCTGACTTCTCGGTTTCGGCAGCGGCGGGCTCGGCTCTAGCGCCTGCACACCTACGAAGCCCAGGACGTCTATACGCCATGGACTCTACTTCGTAGTACTTGACAGCGACGAAACACAAAAAGAGCTTGTACGATGGTGGTAGCGAGGGGGACTGGAAGGGGGAGGCACAGTCGCAATCACACGGGACGAGGGGATGTATGTAACAGACGCAAGGAAGCTGAGACTTCAGCAACACTCCGCTCACTGGGCTGTCAGAACAACCTCGTTGAAAGCTCGCGAGGAAAGAGAAGTGGAGGTGACTGGCGGGTGGGAGGAGGGAACGATGCCTTTGTCTAAACCAAGTGGTCCCCACTGTCACGCGAGATCTTGGGAGGCCTTGCCTTCTCTCGCGAGAGTTAACGCATGATGCATGTCACTGGTAGCCGACATTTGGGAAAATTTGATGACGCTAGGAAGTGCGTTCATGATCAGGGCGGAGTTAGATCGCATGTCACGTGGTTGGTACAGGTTTGACGAGCTGACCCGTGGGACAGGTCGACCTAACGGCCACTGCGCGACCATTGATGCCAGAACCTCTGAAAGTGTCACCTGGTGGCACTAACGAATTCGCGTGCAGAACAAGCTACTGCCACTCTACACGATCAGATTTGTTTACAATTTGTCAGTCGCAAATCAATGTCGTGGGGCATGCTAATTGGATCGCCTTGTTTCGCAGCTTTTGGACTGCCTATATCTGCGACGCTGAAGTTGACTGGTAGATGCGAGTTTTACTGGTTTGTGAGAGCGGGAAATATTGGCGCTAGCGTCAAACTCACCTGACACCCGGGCAGTATCTGCTTCCATGGTACAGGTAGGGTTGTACCACATGTTGGACATGCAGTCAAAATTTGCCCTTAGTGCAACATTTGTTGCCACGCAAAAATAATGTAAATCGAGGAAGAGGCTGCCACTGGCAGTTTTTTTGTCGTGACCCATTAAATGCTCGTTCGCGCGACAATTGTACTGTGCTACGGCAAATGTTTTAAGAGCAAACCCAAATCACATTTCCAAAATTTGTCACATCAAAACGAAAATGGGTACAGTATGGGGGGGGGGGGGGGCGGGGGGGGGGTCGACCGTTTTGGGTAACGGGGGAATATCATACATCGCCAGCAAAAAGGGCCGACGCTTTTGAGGCCTCCTCGATTTCTGTCGAAGCGCACGATTCCCTCCAAATCTTGTCTCACTGCTTGCTTTTATGCACCCAATGATGCTTGGGTTGTGGGGAGGGGAGACGAGGTTGGCTTGGCTTGAGCAGCAGCACTTCGCTGCTACTGAGTCCTCCCAACTCTCTGCTCTCTTCAGCTCATTCACTTCCTCCTTTGCAGTTCTCCTTTCCTTCTCCACCTTCTACAAGTGGTTCTTTTGTTCCGCCAGCTCCCCTTTCACTGTTTCCAGCTCCTCACTTGCTGTTACCAGCTCCCCTCTGACTGTTACCAGCTCCCCTCTGACTGTAACCAGCTTCCCTTTCACCACTAACACACCCTTTTCCTCTGATTATCTCTATCTCTCTCTCCTCCAACCGCCCTCCCGATGCCCTCACATCCGCTTCTCTTCTTCTCTCAGCCTCCTTGTCTTCTACAGCTGCCTTTCAAGCGCCCTCATTCTCATCTCCACTGCCCGTACCAGCCCATCAGCTGCCACTTGCTGCCTGGAAGGAATGCCAAAAGACTCACTACCCCCCTGCATTTCCACCTGCACACAATCCCTACACCTCGTGGCCCTGCCCAATGTGCTTGCTCTCATTGTACCATTTGTGCTCGTCCCGTTGCTTGATTTTTTTTTTAGGGTCCGCGCAACAACTATCCTGGATTTGAAGGGACTCTCCCACCTATCAGACTCCCTGCTTTGGCCATGTGTCAGCAATGACTCACCAAAAGCATACCTATGTGGATGGGTCAGCAGGCTTCAGCTCTCAAGCGATGAAGCGTCTTTACCAGCTGCCCTTGCTGGACAGGCTAGAGCTGAAAGGCAGTGTCGTAACAGACAGCACCCTGTAAGGGACTGGGGTGGCAAGCAACAGTCTAAGAAGCAACCTGAAGCTTCTCTATCTCAACCGCACTGAGGCGATGGATGCTGGCCTGCTGCATGTTACATGCCTTTTGTCTCTCAAGACCTTGATACTCTACAAGTGTGAGGGGGCCATAAGTACGGGCATGGTTTATGTGGGGAGGCTGACAGGCCTTGAGCAGCTGTATCTACCTGATGTTGGGGTGAGAGACGATGGGCTGCATTACTTGGCGTCTTTGACCAAGCTCAGCAAGTTCATTCTGTCAAATGGGGTTACTGACGCAGGCATGAAGCACATCCAGCAACTATCTGCCTTGAAGTGGCTGGATTTGGTGAACTGTACAGTGACATGGAAAGGCGTAAAGTTCTTAAAGAGACTACCCTACTTGAAGCAGATTAGAACCTAAGTGACAGCTTGCCCCAGCTTGTGACGACCATTCTCCCAGGAGTGGAAGTGAGTGATGATCATCTGCCTGGAGTCATACGTGGGAATGTTCAGGCCATTTACTAGTACTGTGGAGCCCTGTATATTTAGAAGTCATGTAGTATGAATGCTGCTGGCATGCTGCCCTCGACGAGCCCTCTCTTTCTTCGGGGCCCCGGTAATAGACAACTGGCTGGGTGCCACTACAACCTCTATTAGCTGGCATGGTGCATGTGGGGCGGGGAGGTCAACCACAAGCCTGGAGCAGATGTACCCCTACGGGAGTGCAGTGAAGGATAAATGGTTGCATTTCCCGGCACCAATAACCAAGCTCAAACTTCTTGAAGCGATGACCCCACTTGAAGCAGGTTAGAACTTATTGTGACAACATGCTTCTCAACTGCAGTGAGGTGATAGATGCTGCTTTGCTGCAGCTCACGTGCCTTTCCTCACTCAAGACATGGGTATTTTACAAGTGCCAGAATGTCACATGTGGTGGCACGATGCATTTTGGGGGTATGGTGAGCATTGAGCAGCTGTATCTCTCTGGGAGTGGGGTGAAGGATGATGAATTGTGGTACATGGCATGGCACCACCCAGCTATTGCCTTGTTGCTCACCTTCCATAGCGACCTATCCTAATCTTCCCCAGTTGCCAGTTGAAGATACAGGCAATTGTGTAAGCATTAAACACTACTGATACAGCAAGCAAACCGCGTATATACGGTACATACATTGAGCTACAAGAAACTTATGTATTCAACTAGGAAACAAGCAATGTTCACGCTTATTTCTGAAGCCAAACTAAGGTTCTCCGCTTCACATGCACTCCTCATTGCATGAAATCGCTTCCGCAGCTGCTATGTGATGCTCAACCATGTGCCATGCGACAGTGGACATGCAACCTGACATCCTTGCGCCCCATCCAGGAACCCCCAGCGCCACTTCACATGACCTCACAACCACTCATCATGCTGCTTCAGTCACTGCTCGCATGCTCGCCCCTCCGCCAGGCGGCAGCGAACATGCAATCCGGTGCACCGATCCCCGACGTGATGTAGTCCTCCATGCGCCCGTCCAGGAACCCCCTGCCGCTCTCGCTCTCCACGTCCACCGCCTCCCGCAGCAGCCGCGTCAGCAGGCGGTACCGCAGCGACCGCACCTTGCGCACCGCCTCACTGCGGAATGTCTGCCCCAACACGCCGTGAATCCCCTCCGTGTGCTGCGGGGTTGGGGGAGGGGGATGGTAGGGGAAGAGAAGTGGAAACCGGGTTCAAGGAACACATGAAGTTGAATGACACAAGTGCCAGCAGCACTATACCGAGCAGACACGTCACACCATAGAGTTTCTATTCTTACGTTGAGCTGAACTATGTGCACGTTGAAGTGCGCCTGCGCCTCGTCTGCAGTCTGCATGAGCGGATGCGCCACGCGCGCTGTCACCTCCATATCCAGCAGCCCCTCGATTGTCAGTCGAAACTCATCCTCCTCTTTCCCCTTGCGGCTCCTCCGCGTGTCCGCCAGGAGCAGCTTTAGGCCGCCAGTGCCGGAGACAGAAGAGCCGCCTGCGAAAGGAGGGGCCACCGGCTGGCCGTCGATTTCCATCCGGTCAATGAATCCGCCGCTGCCCCGCCCCTGCTCCTTGCCGTCTCGCGCCTTGATGTACACTGAGTGCTGCGAACCAATCTCATCATGCCACATGACTTGGAGCTCTCTGGCAGGTGGAGAAAAGGGTGGGCATGGAGAGAGGCGAAGATGTGAGTAAGAGAGGTTGTCTAGATCTGTTCCCATCAAACCCGCTATGGCAAAAAAGGTCATGAAATGTGCACATCATAATAGTAAAAATCGTGACGAACAATGAAATGCACATCACATCACACACCTGATCCAGCTGCGAATAGCCTTCCCTTTAAGCAGCCTCGCTTTCAGCTCTTCCTCTCCATACTGAATCGAGTGCTTTTCCTCGTCCCCACGATTCCCACTTTCCCGTTCGAGCGCCGCCGTCACCTCAGCAGTCAACGGCAGGCTCCCATTGGCCCTCATCCTTTCCAGCTCAGCAACTTCTTCTGCACTCAACTGTTCCTTCTCCAGCTCCCGAATGTGATGTGGCTTTTTCTCACTGGCCACAACTTCCAGCGCTGCAGCGAGCGAGGCTTCGTCCAGTGACGTGGCAGTGCCCGGGAGATTCGCGATGGGGCGGTAGCCATTGATGCCCATGTTGATGTGGATCCGACGGTCGGAGATGAGGCAGAAGGATCGGCCGAGCAGCCCATTGAAGTCGAAGCTCGTGCCGTCCGCTCCCAGGAAATGCGGATCGTCCTTGGTACCGGCTTCAGGGTTGCACTCTCCTCCAAGGTAGGTTATAGCAATCGCTCTGTCCCAGTTGGTCACGGTGATCCCCGCCAGCGAGCCCAGTAATGTGCATTCGCCACTGTTTGTCAGCACAGAGAAGGAAAGGAATATAGATTCCAGAGGGGGATGAGAGGAGTTTAAAGTCATGGCCCTGTAAACAGCATCCTGTTGCAAGCGTAGCAAGAGAGAGAGAGAGAGAGAGAGAGAGAGAGAGAGAGAGAGAGAGAGAGAGAGAGAGAGAGAGAGAGAGAGAGAGAGAGAGAGAGAGAGAGAGAGAGAGAGAGAGAGGAGAGAGGAGAGAGAGGAGAGAGAGAGGAGAGAGAGAGGAGAGAGAGAGGAGAGAGAGAGGAGAGAGAGAGGAGAGAGAGAGAGAGAGAGAGAGAGAGAGAGAGAGAGAGAGAGAGAGAGAGAGAGAGAGAGAGAGAGAGAGAGAGAGAGAGGGAGAGAGAGAGAGAGGAGAGAGAGAGAGAGACTACTAGTAAGAACACATCAGTGATGGAATCAGGGTTCTAGTAAGCGAAGGGACAGTGAAGAGGGCGGGTGTAAGGTTTTAGGCGGCCGGATGGTAGTAGCACCAGCCGCGATGCTTACGGAACACCGTTTCCGTGGGCCCTGAGGTGCCAGAATCTGCAGCCAGTCGTCTCTGCGCACTTCCTGCAGCATTGCACTTCCTCCCCTGGGTTCTGCAGGTGGGGGAGTTTGTTGTGAAACCAGAGGAAACGAACGACGTTTATCTTTAGAGTCGAGTCAAAAACCAGATCTTGCAGCCGGTCGTTTCTGCGCACTTCCTGCAGCACAGTGTCTTGCTGTTGGGTAAGGGAAGGCGCGTTATCCGTTGAGTCGTGTCTGCACACTTTTCAGTAGTCCACTCGTCCAAGTGCTGCCAGTAGGGGAGGTTCGGCAGGAAAGAGGCGAGTCCAGCTCACCACTGTCAGCGTCAAGACGCGGAGAAAGAATTGAACTGAAATGACATGAATCGGTTCGGATTCAAGGCGACGGCGGAAATACGATTATTGACTCACTGAAAACCACGAATCCTCAGATGGAGAAGGCACATAAGTTTGTGCTCACAATACGATGATCAAGGGGGATTGCGTCGGCGGAAGTGAATACACGAGTCTTTCTATCAATGGAGATAATATATTTTCTTACCCCTGAAGTTGACGCCGACCCGACGACTTTTGCATTCGCCGTGTCAACGAGGTAGCGCTCGTAGTTGATGTTCGCGACGGTGTTAGCCGGTCCCGACGCCCTCGTGTGGGAGGGATGTTTAATGAAGTATCCCATTCGAAGATTGTTGCATCTCTTGTAGCACCCTTTGGGTGTCATGGTCAGAGGGCCATGCGGCTTGTCCTGGTCGGGATGACGCGCTACAGCTGGGGAAGGCGCCGCCGCAAGGAGCACGAAAACCAGGAGACATGGTGCTGTCGCGCTGCCAAGCCGCATGGCGGAGAAACGCCAGTTAGATTCGCTGTTTCCCATTATATTTTTGTCGATCCTCGGGGCTAGGAGATGCTAGTGTTCAAAAGTGGGCTCACAGAGCTTCGAGGGTAAAGGAGGACGGTGATAAGTTCACTGAACTCGAGATTCCTAGCCGTGCAATGAGCAATCCGAACCTTGGAATATATGGCTGTGTTTGTGTGACATTCTTGCTACGAATGCCAATGGGAATGAAAATCAAGAACCCAAGAATGAGGTGGGGGGGGGAATCGGCGCACCGCGCATTTCCCCAGTGCAATCGAACAAAATGTCTTCGCTTCTGCCGATCTGACGAGCAGCCGTACAATTGCACCAGATTGAGCCACGTCGGCTTGATGACGCGCGACGTGACAAAAGTCAGGCGATCTTCTTGCCGCAACCTGTCAAGAGATTGACAGAGGTCAAGGCATTCGCCAGGTTTTGCCAACCGAGGTGGTCACCCTTCCCCTCCGTGATATCGAGTGTGGTTTTTCCAAATTCTCCCAACTCCGTAGATTTCGAAAATGTAACCTACACTTTCACGGGTTCAGTGAGCCACTCTCACCGATGAGCCTTAGTTCAGCGATGCTGAACCTTAATATAATTCAGGGGCCAGGTATCTTACAGGCCTCTTGTGTGTCCGACTCCTTCCAACAGGAGTGATTCGGTCAGATTAAGGTCAGTCAATGAGATGGAGAGAAGTCCATCTACTATTTCGAGTACCGCGTGTGACAAGTGCTAGGTTCTGCTCAGGAAAATACTGTACAACTTGACTGCAGTACCTTCCAGCACAGTGGACCACAGCCACCGCGCTGTAACAGGCAGGCAAAATCGAGACATGATGGGGGAGGAGAAAAGCTGGGGCGATATTGTTGCCTCAGTACCATGCACTTTTGTAAGGAATGAGTATTTCCTTACTGAGGCTGGCTATAGGGCGTACGACTCGAAGTCCCGAACCCGCGATAGGGTTCCAGACCTTTCAGTTCGAGCCTCCTGGGCATTTCCGGACCTCGCTTCGACACATCGAGGCCCTTCGACACTTTTCCCGAACCTTCTGATCCTACGTCCAGGATCACCCTATGCTGTCTATATATTGTACTGTCTTTTATTTTATTGTCATTCACTCGTTCACAGTTTCGCCATTGCCCTCCGCGCTACTCGGCAATCCCATTCATAACATCTTTAGAGGCAGCAACCGAATTTTGTGCTACGGTTTTAGCAAAAAATGCACATCTAATAGCATATTGATTGTGAAATCAAACCCGATAAACCTCTCAGGAGAATAGTCAAGTACAAAATGCATGATACATCTATGATGTGAATGCTATGTCCTCACATCCATCACTCTGAAACGTGACAAATATTTGCACGGAAGCAAAATGAAGTTTTTTATGCAATGCTCCAGATTTAACAACTGCGTGTATTACGACACGAAAATGACTTCTGCATTTGTTATGAATTAATCAGAGTAATAACATGTGGTGTAATAAAGGAGTCGTAATTCAAGAGTGTCAATACAAATGAGGGCCTAGGCATTTATAGGCACGAACAGAGCTAGCCGAGAACCACGCGAACACGTTGGGGCGGTCCAGTTGGCGAAAGCTACGGAAGCGCCACACGTCTAGGTTTGGGTTCGCGAAGTGGTTCGGGACCGAAGAAGTTGGCCGAGCCTGGACTTTTGAGATTCGATGGCGTACGCGCTGTAGTCGACCCCAGTAAGGAAAAGGGGATTTCCTTACACACCCCACATTCCGGGGCGAGACTACCCACATCTGGAACACGTCGTCGTAGTAAATAGTCCGGGACGACTCTGTGTTCACCGAGCTCTGAGATAGCTGTGGGGACCCATAGATGGGGACCCATAGATCGTCATCAGTTGTGCGATCGACCCATCGTACAAGGAAATCAATGGCTGCTGTATCTCGGTGGCCTCGTACGCGATGAGCGAAAATCTTGGACGGCTCGATCGTTGGCTCGGGTACTTGGTTGACCATAGGATTGATAGTTAAATTATATCTTATATATAATTGTAGGCTTGGTAGGTGTTATTGGAACCTACTGTAGAGGGTGCAACTTCCTCCTTGTATCCCTCTCTCTTCTAATCTTATTCTCTCCTCTCTCGATATTTCTCCTAGCCTAAAACCTTGCGCCATGGCGAAAGCACACCCCCTAGGCTTGGTAGCCGAAAGCACACCACACAAACATCACACTAAGCCACACACCCCCATACCTAGCAACCGCGGCGGCTACTCCAGCAGGGCCAGCCCCTCGGCGCGGGAGGCCGCGACGACGACAGCGAGGGCAGCGGCTGCAACGGCGGCGACGGCTGCAGCGTCGACAGCGGCGGCGGCGGCGGCATGCGGCGGCGTGGTCAGCGGCACCAGCTGCGGGGGCGGCGACTTCGATGACAGCTGCCGGCGGCGGCGGAGCTCGCAGCACTCGGCGGAGTGGCCGGGCTCCGCGACGGTGGGACGGCCAACGCGAGTCAGCCGTCGGCTGCGGCGAGTAAGAGGGGATGCAGGGGAAGGGGGCGGGGTGTCAGCAGCGGGGCCAGGGAGTGTGACGCCCCGTGTGGCGCGCTGGATGCATGCGGTCGTGTTGACCAGCGCTAAGACGAGGCGCTGGCCGCTGCCGACCGTGCCGTACGCGCGCTGGCAGTACGATGGCGCCGTCACGCCGCCACGGCTCTACGTCGAGGACGCCGCACGACTTGACGTCGACACCACGACGGCGCGACGCCACGGCAGCGCGTTAGACCCCCGCACGATCGCCGCCACGACGCCGCCATAGCAGCACGACGCGCCACCATGGCAGCCGAGAGAGGGGGGCGGGGGGGAGAGAAGGTCAGCATGCTGAACTGCTCTGTTACCATGTAGATACTAGAATAGTACTAAAGAAGCATAGAATGGCGCAAGGTAGGCTAGGAAAATTGAGAGAGGGAGAATGATTAGAAGAGAGATACAAGGAGGAGTTGTACCCTGTACAGTAGGTTCCAATAACACATACCAAGCCTACAAATAAATATAAGATAAAATTTAACATTGATGTGTTGACAATCGAGGTTAGTCGTACTCGGCATGAACGGTTGCAGGAGACTGGCGTATAACGAATAATGGATTTTCCTATTGATCGGCAGTTGCAACTGGGCGATGACTAGTGTCACCATGCGCATGATGCGGAATGGGCCGCAAAATCTTGGTCGTAATTTATTTGGGAGGGGGATTCCCAAATTCTTGGTGTCGAGCAAGACCAATTGCCCAGGGACAAGTTTTAAGTCTCGGCGTCGTCAATCAGCTTGCTGCTTAGCCCTCTGGTTGGCTTTGAGGATGGCATCGGCGGCTTTTTGCTGAGAATGCCTGAGATTTTTGTCGAACTGCTGCGACCTTGGTACCGGATTTTCTATTGGTGGTGATAGAGGGGTTGTCGGAACTATCCCATGATTAAGGAAGAACGAGGACTGTGTAGTCGTGGCCGATGATGCGTTGTTGTACGCAAACTCGATCAAGGGAAGGGCGTCTTCCCATTGGGCCGGGTCTGTGCACGTTGTGCGAATCAGCTGCTCCATCATCTGATTGGTGCACTCAGTCTGACCGTCCAATTGCGGGTGGTACGCCGTGGATAAATGCAAGCGTGTGCTGTACTGCTACCAGGTTTTTGTCCAGAAGTTGGACGTGAACCGTGGGTCACGATCACTGATGATTGCCGAGGGGATGCCGTGTAGCTGCACGATGTTTGTGAGGAACATTTTTGCAGTCTGCTCGGCAGTAATAGTCGTCTTGCATGCGGCGAAGTGGGCCATCTTGGTCAATCGGTCAACGACGACGAGAATCGCATCGTTATCGCTCGGACCAGCTGGCAAGCTAGTGACGAAATCCATTGTCACTTGTTGCCAGGGTCAGCTGGGTGGCTCGAGTGGCTGCAGCAATCCCGCAGGTCGAAGTCGGGAGGACTTCATGCGTTAACATGTGGCGCAGGAGGTGACGTACTGCTGCACGTCTGTCGGCAAATCGGGCCAGTAATAATTACGGCTCAGTGATTTGGCGGTTTTGTCGACGCCGTAGTGACCCAAGAAATTCGAGTCATGCGCCTCCTGGATTGGTAATTCCCGTAGGATACGGTAGGCGGGAACCCAAATCCGATTGGTAACAGATTTTAGGTAATAGACCCCTTGCCTGTTCGTCAGTTGGGGATGACTGTTAGTGGTGAAGAATGGGCCAGTACTATATCCATGGGTGAATAGGCTAGTTAGCAACGGATTAGCTTGGGTAATTAGGACTTCGGCGCTGTGGACTGAAGGGCGGGTCAGTGCGTCGGCAATGTTGCTAACCCCCCGTTTGTAAGTGACTCTGTAGTGGAAGTTGGACTCGAGGTAGTCAAGCCAGCAAATCTGTCGGGGATTCAGTGTCGGTTGGGCGCGGATGAACTGTAGCGATTTGTGGTCTGTTCAGACTATTACGTCAGTGCCCGTCAGGCAGCAGCGCCAGAGTTTGAAGGCGTGAACGATGGCGAGTAACTCCTTGCCGTGGACAGGATAATTTTGCTCAGCCAGGTTCAGCTTTCGTGACTCAAAGGAGATGGGTTGGAGGCCTTTGGCGATGTCTTGTAACAGGGCTACGCCAATGGCCGGATTGCTAGCGTCGGTGATGAGCTCGAACGGACGGTAAGGATCTGCAATCCGAAGAACCGGCGGTGTAGTCAGGAAAAGTTTGAGCTGTTCGAACGCAACCTACTGCTCTTCCTCCTAGTCATAAAACGTGCCCTTCTTCAGGAGGTCCGTGAGAGGGGAAGTTACCCCCGCCATGTTCGGAATGAAATGGCGGACGTAGTTCACAAACCCCAGGAAACGCTGAAGTTAGCGGAGATTAGCCGGCGGCTGCCAGGCTTGGATGGTCGTAATCTTCTTGGGGTCGATTTTAACTCTGTCGATGGAAATTACGTGGCCCAAAAAACTCCAGTTCATGTTTTAGAAACTCGCACTTAGAGCCCTTGGTGATGAGTCGGTGCTGCGGCAAGAGAGAGAAAACTTCTGTAAAACCCTTCAAATGCTGCTACCATGTAGTGTTGTAGACCAGTATATCGTCGAGGTACACGATAACGCATGTGTCCAGCAGCGGCCGAAAAACCTTGTTTATAGTTAACTGGAACATCGAAGGTGCG